AGGTGTCTGCCCGGGAGCCCAGGCCCCCAGCAGGTTCCTGTCGGGGCAGCCCTGGGTCGGTGAGGAGGACGTGGGCTGCCGGGTAGAAATGCCCGTTGCTGGCCGGGCGCGGTGGCTCACCCCTGTAATCCCAGCTATTCAGGAGGCTGAGGCAGGAGAATCACTTGAAGCTGGGAGGCGGAGGTCGCAGTGAGCTGAGATTGTGCCACTGCACTCCAGCCTGGGTGACAGAGCGAGACTCTGTCTCAAAAAAAAAAACAAAAAGAAACGCCTGGCATACAGAGCTGTACTCCCAGGAGGCGCTGTGGGAGGGTGCATTGCCGGGGCAGGGGGCCCAGGGCCCGGGCTAGGGCTGTTGCACTTGGGTGAGCCAGGCCTCTTCTCTTGGTGGCCAGATTCGCCGTTACAAAGCGAACAAGGACGTGATGGAGAAGGCGGCAGAAGTCTACACCCGGCTGAAGTCACGGGTCCTCGGCCCAAAGATCGAGGCGGTGCAGAAAGCGAACAAGGCTGGGACGGAGAAGGAGAAGGCCGAGGAGAAGCTGGCCGGGGAGGAGCTGGCTGGGGAGGAGGCCCCCCAGGAGAAGGCGGAAGACAAGCCCAGCACCGGTGAGGGGCAGGTGGGGTGGGCCCTGAATCTCTGTCTCCTCAGCTGAAGAAGCAGATGCTTTGCAGAATGTTCCAGAAGGGGAGCACAGCTCTGCTCTCTGCCCCAAACCCGCCAGAGTGTTGTGTCCTCTTGGGGTCTCCGCGCAAACCCGGCTTTCATCCCCGGGGCAGCCAGTGAGGGGCATTCAGCCCCACTGTATGCCAGGCAGCCAGGGTACAGGCAACCTGGAGCTCACGCCAGAGGGGTGACGGGAACAGTGCATGACACCACACGCCTCCACCGCCTCCAGCCCCGGGACGCCCAGAGCGGGGGTGGCTCTGTGCAGCAGGGGCAGAGTGGGACGTTGTTCAGAGATGCAGTCGGTGGAGGTTTGGGGGCGAAGGCCTCAGGTGCCTTTGTTTGCCTGGTGGTCCAACAGGAGACGGGGGTGTGACCCTCGGGGCTGCTGGGCTGACATGGCCCCATCACAGGTATGCAGAGCAGCCCTTTGGAGATGGGATGGGCAAACGGGACAGGGCTCTGCGGCCCAGGGGGGCAGCCGGAGGCTGGTGTCTTTATTTCTTTTCTTTTTTTTTTTTTTTTCTGAGATGGAGTCTCGCTCTGTCCCCCAGGCTGGAGTGCAGTGGTACAATCACAGCTCACTGCAACCTTGACCTCCTGGGGGCAAGCCATCCTCCCACCTCCGCCTCCAGAGGAGCTGGGATTGTAGGCCTACACCACTACGCTCTGCTAATTTTTTTTTTTTTTTTGAGACAGAGTCTCGCGCTGTCCCCCAGGCTGGAGTGCAGTGGTGAGATCTGAGCTCACTGCAAGCTCCGCCTCCTGGGTTCACGCCATTCTCCTGCCTCAGCCTCCCGAGTAGCTGGGACTATAGGCGCCCGCCGCCACGCCCGGCTAGTTTTTTGTGTTTTTTAGTAGAGACGGGGTTTCACTGTGTTGGCCAAGATCTCCTGACCTCATGACCCGCATGCTTTGGCCTCCCAAAGTGCTGGGATTACAGGCGTGAGCCACTGTGCCTGGCCAGGCCTCGCTAATTTTTGTATTTTTTGTAGAGACAGGGTTGCTGGCATGTTGCTCAGGCTGGTCTTGAACTCCTGGGCTCAAGTGAGCCTCACATCTTGGCCTCCCATCTGCTGGGATTGTGAGCCCCCGTGCCCAACCTCATCTTCCTTTGTCTTTCCCAGGCTGCTGTGGGCTTTTCTCAGGGCTGCCGACGTTCCCTTATTTCCTGGGCCCCCAGTTCTCCGGGCCAGTGTGGCTGGGGCTGGGGCCGGCTGCAGGATGGGACCATGCAGAGCCCGGCCTCCATGTCGGGAGCTTGCAGACCAGGCAGCAGGTGCCGGGGTCCAGGTGGATGGGCATGCGTCACCCACGGTGCTCAGCTCAAACCCTGGTCCAGTCCTCGAGGGGGAAGGGTTCTGGGGTTCCCAGCTGGAGCCCAGCAGTGACCTGTGACCCCTCTGTCCCACTCAGATCTCTCAGCCCCGGTGAATGGCGAGGCCACGTCGCAGAAGGGGGAGAGCGTGGAGGACAAGGAGCACGAGGAGGGTCGGGACTCGGAGGAGGGGCCGAGGTGTGGTTCCTCTGAAGACCTGCACGAGTGAGTGTCCCGGGCCGTGGGGTGTGGCCTCCTGAGCAGCAGTGGCGTGATGCACACCGTGTCTGAGCTGCTTCTCCTGTGCCAGTCCCTCTGGGAAGGGTCCCAGGGATGTCACCCCCCATGCAGGGGCCTCCCATCCTCACAGCTGACCCCAGGGCCCCGCTGGCTGGCACTTCCTTCCAGTGGCCCCCACTGAGGCAGTTCCAGGGCTTTGAGCTGCCTGCCCCTGGCCTCCCGGGAAGGCGGCTTCTTGCCGAGCCTCCAGGGTGGCCCAGGCAGGCCCTGAGCACGGGCACCCGGCACCCATCACCGTGGCCTGCTGTCTGGTACAAGGCTCAATGGAGTCAGTCGCTTACACAGCAGCTGCCTTGTGCTAGGCCTGGTTGGCGCCAGCGTGGGGACCCTGGAAATGTTTGTGGTCTCTAGTGGCAGAAGACAGGCAGATAGGAGGGTGGCACTCCAGCCTCAGGTGCCACAAAGGGGCGCCCACTCCTCAGTGCCCGTCCCATTGACCGCCCCACAGGCAGGGCAGGGGCGGGAGGGCATCCTCACACTGCCTTTGCTGTTCCCACCAGCAGCCTACGGGAGGGCCCCGACCTGGACAGGCCTGGGAGCGACCGGCAGGAGCGCGAGAGGGCACGGGGGGACTCGGAGGCCTTGGACGAGGAGAGCTGAGCCGTGGGCAGCCAGGCCCCGCCCCCGCCCGAGCTCAGGCTGCCCCTCTCCTTCCCCGGCTCACGGGAGAGCAGAGTGGAGAACTGTGGGGAACGCCGTGCTGTTTGTATTGGTTCCCTTGGGTTTTTTTTTTCTGCCTAATTTCTGTGATTTCCAACCACCATGAAATGACTATAAAGGGTTTTTTAATGAAAAAAGAAATCACTTTTATTGGCTTGGTTTTCTAGCATTGCTGGTGCAGTGGGGGCCTGAGCTGGGGAGCAGTTGGCAGCGTCACTGGGCCTGTTTGGGACTGGGTTGAGCCATCGAGCCACCGTGAGAAGCAACTAAAAGGCACGCTGGGCCCAGCCCAACCCTGAAAGGCCGGTGGCGGGAGAGCTGGGCGGGAGCAAGCCCTTCCCAGGAGACAAGAGGGAGAAACCGGGGCTGCTAAGCTTTGATGCCTGCTCCCCGCCCCCCACCCAGGAGGCTGGGGTTTGATGCTTCCTGTGTCTGGCAGCCCAGCATCCAGGCAGGTGAGCAGGTCAGATGTGGGGAGGGCGAGGGCCCCTGAGGCTGGGCTGGGAGGGTGGAGACCGGGCCTTCCCTGAGGACCACTGCTAGCTGACAGTGGTCTCCAGTGTGCAAGGGGCGTGGGCCTCAGGGGCCAGCCTGGACTCGCCCGCACACTGTGTGACTTTGGGCAAGTTGCCCTTCCACTCTGGGCTTCTCTTTCCTTCTCTGCATAAGGGACTGTCACGTGGGCACGGCCCCTAGCAAGTCACACCGTGCACCGAAGTTGCTAATTCCACAGTGGCATCTCGGGTTTGTCCTCCTGCCCAGCATGGCCGAGTTGCCTCCGTCCCAGTAAGAATTAGGCTGTGGTATGGCGGGAAGGGACTTCCTGAGCCCCGGCTCCATGCTTGGTTGGCTGGACGCAAGCTGCAGTCCCTGTGCCGGATTTCTGCAAATGGCTGTGTCTGGCGTCCTAGCCTCCGCTGGCCATGGGTGTCAGGCTGAGAAGGCTCAGGAAGGCTCCTGACCCGTCCCCTCGCACCTGAGGCTGCCCCTGCTGTGCCGGCTTCCCTGGTTCAGAGCTGAGCTGAATGCCCTGGCCCCTCACGGTCCCTGGTGCACACCGTGACCCCTGGGGACCAGCAGTCCCTCCACCCTTCCTCTCCCCCGGGTCTGGGGTTCCTGGGCTCGTGTCCTAGAAGACTGTGGGAAGGTGATAGAAAGGTTCTCTTACCGGCTGAGTGGGGATATGGCTTCCTGGGGAGGCCGGGCTAAACGGCTCTTCCCCCTGCACTGAGCACAGCCGCAGCGCACTTCTCACACCTGACCTGAGCCTGCCAGCCTCCACGGCCTGGGCCAGCCTGAGAGCACCGGGTCGGGCGACCTTGCCAGGTGGGTGGGTCCGCTGCCGCCCGTGTCTCTGATGCCCACAGTCTCCCCAGCCCCGCTTCCTCTGCAGCCCAGCGCTTGGGTGGGTGGGTCCTGAGGACCCAGGGGAGCGTGCAGGGGAGAAGGTGCCGTGTCACAGGCCCGCAGCCTCTGTGGCTGTTCCCAGCCCTGTCCGATCCCTCCATGAGGCACAGTTCCCTGTGAGGAAGCCCTTTGCCTGTGTTCTCCAGGGGCAGCCGCTGGGCCCAGCCTCCCCGGGGGCTTCAGAGCCCCAGGTGCCCGGCCAGGCCTCTGGTGGGCAGCTGGAGGCAAGAGAAGCCTGTTTGCTTGTTTTTGTACCCCCCACCCCCTGCAAATCGCACAGTCTGAAGCCAGGCTGGTGCAAAGCCCCAGCTGTGGCTGCTGTGGCTCCTGGCAGCTCTGTCCCCACTGTGAGGCCACCCCAGGGGTCAGCAAAGGCAGTAGCAGCCTGCCTTGGGATGATGGCAGTTTGACATTTTCTTTTTTTGGAGACGGAGTCTCGCTCTGTCGCCCAGGCTGGAGTGCAGTGGCACGATCTCAGCTCACTGCAAGCTCCACCTCCCAGGTTCACGCCATTCTCCTGCCTCAGCCTCCAGAGTAGCTGGGACTACAGGTGCCCGCCACCACACCCGGCTAATTTTTTGTCTTTTTAGTAGAGGCGGCGTTTCACCGTGTTAGCCAGGATGGTCTCGATCTCCTGACCTCGTGATCCGCCCGCCTCGGCCTCCCAAAGTGCTGGGATTACAGGCGTGAACCACTGCGCCCGGCCAAGTTTTACATTTTCTAGTACCTTCTAGTATGAGAGAATGTGGTTCTTAAGACCCTCAAGGTGTGCTAAGGCCAGAGACCCACTTTGAGCACAAGGACGGAGCTGCCTGGAGCCTGGGATGCCACAACGCTGCCTGCACTGCTGGTAGCTGGGGGCCCGTGCTGCAGGACTGGAAGAGCCCTGCTAGATATAAAAGGGTTGCTATCAGGGCAAATGGATGCCCTTCCAGACTGGGCATGCTGCTTTTTCTCTTTCCTAATTGCAGTACTCGCTCAGGGTCTTCAAGGGAAGGCTCCTGGCTGGCGGCTGAGTGACCCCAGGCTCCGAGGGGAGCAAGCAGTGCTGGGGAGGAGGTGGGAAGTGCAGGCAGGCCCGGAGCAGGGCGTGGGGTGGCTCCGCTCAAAAGGTCACTGCCTCCGCAGCCCCTCAGAGCTCAGCCAGCTGCAGCCCCAAAGGTCTAGGGCTTTAGGAAACCGATCCAGGTTTGGGGCTGGAGAGAATGTTCTGAGGCAGCTCCTCCCTGGGCAGAGCAGGGCAACCCTGCCCCGGGCCTGCAGGCTCCTACAGCTGCTGCCCGCCGGGGGGCAAGGCGAAGGGCCCTACCAGCCAGCTGAGCGGGGGATTGTGCTGTAGGCCCTCCAGCAGCTGCTCTAGCCCCTGCCACGCCTGGTGCACACCCTCGTGGCACTGCACCAGCTGCTCTGCGGGCAGCGCCTCTACAGAGCCGGCCGAGGCCACGACACCATAGAGCTCACAGAGGCTGTGCCGCGCCCGCTTCACCGGCTGCTGGAGCTCGGCGGGCAGGCCCTGGAGGCTGGAGGCCAGGCCACTGTAGGCCGTGTGCAGCTGCTGGAGAAGGCCGCAGACCCTGGACAGAGCCCCGGCGTCCCGCTCCTGTGGGAGGAAGGTGCGAGGTGAGTGGAGACCCACGGGCGGGGTGGGGGGACCCCAGCCATGTGCCAGACCCACCTCCTGGACAGCAGCATCCTCCACACGGGCACCTGAGCCCTGGTCCAGACACGGCTGCCCGTCTGGAGCCTGCTGGGCCTCTTCAATCTGGAGAGAGAGTACAGTGGGGAGATGACGGCTTCTCGGCAAATGACCTTTCACAGCCCCCACCTCCCCCCGCCCCGGGACCTGGGCACATTCAGAGTCCTGGGACAAAGGCCGCGAATTCCACATCAGTTGTACCACAAGTGGACGTGTTATTTCGCAGAAAGAAGTGGTAGTTCACACTTCCCCACGAGGTCATCAGGGAGACATGTAACACAGCATTCGTGGTGTCATGTCACTCTTCACTCCTAAACCCTCCTGTGGCTGCCCAGTACCCTTAAGATAAAACCCAGCTCCTCAGCATGGCCTTGGTGGGCTGGCCCCTGGGACACCTCTGGCCTCATCTCCCATCACACCCCATTGCTGTCTCCACTGCGGCCACACTGGCTCCGTTCTGCCCTGCGGCCACTCCAGCAGCCTCCTGCCCCAGGGCCTTTGCACACACTGCCCACTCAGCCCAGAGCCTGCTTCCTGGGCCCTTCACAAGGCCTGCGTTCAGCCTCAGCTCCAGGTGACTCTTGGCGAAACCTTCCCGGCCCGTGGTGTGGCAGCCCCAGTCCCTCCCGTCATATCTGCTCCTCTCCTTGGGGGGCACAGCGTGCAGCTTTGGTGTTCGTTGACTTGGTGTTTATCCGCCCTTTGAGGGGGAGCGCTCAGGACTCTGTCCTCGTTGCTGTGTCCCCAGCACGTGGCACCCACGCCCTGCCACCCTGTCCACAGGACCCCATCTTCCTCATCATCTCAATGGCTGGTGGGGATGCAGCACGAAGTCAAAATGTCAACTCCAGACTGCTGTCGCCCTCCCAGCCCTCGCCGCACCAGTGCTGGACACCTGAAGCCAGCTGTGTAGACAGACGAGTCCCCTCGGTGCTCCCCCAGGCATCTCCCCTCACCCTGTCCAAGGCCAGGCTCCTAATATCCACTCTGCAACCCACCCGGCCTCCCCTCAGGCCCCTGCTCTCCTTGTCTGCTCAGATTACAAGCCTCAGGGGTCTCTTGGGGTCCCCTCTCTCTCACCACCTACATCGGACCCGGGCAGCTCTGACTTCAAAACACCCAGAGCCTAGCTGCTTCGCACCACCACAGCGTGACTCCTGACGTCCGGCAACACTGGTCTGGGTTTACATCCCACTGTCTCCACCTCCGGCCCTTTCCCCCGCCCGGTGGCCTGACCTCATCAGAGCGATCCTTTTAAATGAGACCCGCCTTGGATCAGGTCACTCCTCTGCCCAGAGCCCTCCAGGGCTCCCCCCTCCCTTGAGGTGGAAGCCCAGGTCCAGCCCGACCTGCCCCATCCCCTCCTCACTCGGCTCCAGCCACCCAGACCTCCTTGCTGTTCCTCCAACACGCCAGGGATAGTCCTGCCCCAGGGCCTTTGCACGGCCTGTGCCCTCTTCTCAGATCACACTCCTGCCCATTCTGACACACTCCCTCTGTCATTTAGACCTGACTTCAAGAGTCCCCTCTTCAGGGTGACCAGCCCCAGCACAGCCACTTCCTTATCCGGGTACATGTTCCATGTTTCCAAGCATCATCCGACACCCTAAACATTCATCTATGAATTGTCTTCCCCCACAATGGCATCCCCACATCGAGGGCAGGCCTGGGTTCTTGGGATATCCAAGGCCTTCAGTAGCACTTAAAGGAACAAGCGAGGCATGATGAGTCACACACCACATCCCATTTCCCAGCCCAGCATCCTGCACGTGTGGCCCTGAGCACAGCTCTTCTCTTTCTGTGGCCTCCGTCTCCCCTTCTGAAAAGTGTCTGGGCTGAGCTCTGGCCCAGGCTACTTTGCTGTGAGGATTCAAAGGTGGGAAAAGGCTTTGTGATCAGCCGCTCGCACCGCGTCACGAGGGTGGGCCCGTTCCTTCATTCCTCCACGGCGTTTACAGAACACCTTCCAAGTGTGCTGTTGGCCCACGTGCCAGAGGTACAGCAGTGACTGTCCAGCTGGGGGTGGCCACAGTGATGTGAGGTGTCCCAAGGGTCCCCAGGACAGACTGGCCCCCAGCACTGTGGACACAGGGGCCAGATGGTTCTCTGAGGTGGGGCCGCCCTGGGCACTACAGGGTGCTGAGCAGCGTCCCTGGCCTCCACTCCCTCCACCAGGGGCTTGCCCCAGTTGTGACAACCACAGATGTCCCCTGGGGGCAGGTCATCCACACTGAGAACCCTGGGTTAGACCCTCAAACTGTGGCTTGTCGGCTGGGCACAGTGGCTCACACCTGTAATCCCAGCACTTTGGGAGGCTGAGGCGGGCGGATCACGAGGTCAGGCGATCGAGACCATCCTGGCTAACACAGTGAAACCTCGTCTCTACTAAAAATACAAAAAATTAGCCAGGTGTGGTGGTGGGCGCCTGTAGTCCCAGCTACTCGGGAGGCTGAGGCAGGAGAATGGTGTGAACCCGGGAGGCGGAGCTTGCAGCGAGCTGAGATCCGGCCACTGCACTCCAGTCTGGGTGACAGAGCGAGACTCCGTCTCCAAAAAAAAAAAACAAAACAAAACTGCAGCTTGTCACAGACAGACCCCTGGATGTTAACTGAAAACACAGTGGCCTGGGCTGCATGCCAGGAATCCTGACCGAGGGCGGCATCTCGAGGTCTCTCACGGTCCGCTGGGGTGGGGTTGCTGTCCACCAACATGTAACAGCTGTGACTGCTGGGCACGGTGGCTCACGCCTGTCACCCCAGCACTTTGGGAGGCCGAGGCAAGGGGATCGCTGGAGCCCAGAAGCTCAAGACCAGCCTGGGCTACATAGGGAGGCCCCATCTCTACAAAAAGTTTAAATTAACCAGGTGCACCCAGAGGCTGAGGCAGGAGGATCACTTGAACCCAGGAGTTTAAGACCAGCCTGGGCAACATAGCAAAATCTACTCTCTACTAAAAATACAAATAAATACTAGCTGGGTGTGGTGGTCGTGCCAGTTGTCCAGTTACCTGGGAGGCTTAGCAGGGAGGATCTCTTGAGCCCAGTAGTTTGAAGCTGCAGTGGGCCATGATCAAGCCCCTGTAGTCCAGCCTGGGTGGCAGAGCAAGACCCTGTCTCACTGTCTCAAAAAAACAAAACCCGGCCGGGCACAGTGGCTCATGCCTGTAATCCCAGCACTTTGGGAGGCCAAGGCAGGCGGATCATGAGGTCAAGAGATCGAGACCATCCTGGCTAACATGGTGAAACCCCATCTCTACTAAAAAATACAAAATTAACCCGGCATGATCGCGGGCGCCTGTAGTCCCAGCTACTCAGCAGACTGAGGCAGGAGAATGGCGTGAACCCGGGAGGCGGAGCTTGCAGTGAGCCGAGATCACGCCACTGCACTCCACCCTGGGCGACAGAGCGAGACTCCGTCTCAAAAAACAAACAAAAACAGAAATCAAGACCATCCTGGCTAACATGGTGAAACCCCATCTCTACTAAAAAATACAAAAAAAATTTAACACGGCGTGATGGTGGGCGCCTGTAGTCCTAGCTACTCAGGAGGCTGAGGCAGGAGAATGGCATGAACCCGGGAGGCAGAGCTTGCAATGAGCCGAGTTCACGCCACTGCACTCCAGCCTGGGCAACAGAGCAAGACTGCGTCTCAAAAAACAAACAAACAAAAACAGAACTCTAGAGCAGTCCTGTGAGATTCTGCCTCCAGGGATGCACAACGGCATCTAGAGCAAATGTTGGCCCTCAGGACTGGGGAGGGGGAGACTGGAGGCCAGGGACACTGCTCAGCTCCCTGCAGGGACCAGGATGACCCCACCCCAAAGAATGATCCGACCCCAACGTCCACATTGCCAAAGGGGAGACCCTAGGCCACAGGAAGAGAGCGGGGCCAGTGGGAGGAGAGGACCACTCTGGCCAGGGCACGCGACCCCTGGGTGCATCTGAGTCACTTGAGTTGGGTCCTTTCCTGCGTGCACTGCTGCCCCAGGCCCTGTGGCCTCCCTGGAGCCCATCCCGGCTTCACTTTCCCCTGCCACAGCGCCGCCTTTCCATTCCCTGAACACACCCAGCTTGCTCCCCGGTAGCTTGCTGTCCTGTCCCTGCTTTTGGGGGGCTTTGTATAGCTGTCTCCCCATCAGTCAGGACGGGACTCAGAGGGACGGCCTTCCTGCTCAGCCCACATCTCCCTCTGCAGACATTGTTTTGCTATCTTTGTGTACCCACTGTCTTTATTTATTTATTTTTTTTTTTTTTTTTTTTTTTGAGACGGAGTCTTGCTCTGTCACCTAGGCTGGAGTGCAGTGGCCGGATCTCAGCTCACTGCAAGCTCCGCCTCCCGGGTTTATGCCATTCTCCTGCCTCAGCCTCCCGAGTAGCTGGGACTACAGGCGCCCACCACCTAGCCCAGCTAAGTTTTTGTATTTTTAGTAGAGATGGGGTTTCACTGTGTTAGCCAGGATGGTCTCGATCTCCCGACCTCGTGATCCGCCCGTCTCGGCCTCCCAAAGTGCTGGGATTACAGGCTTGAGCCACCGCGCCCGGCCTATTTATTTTTTTCTTGAGACAGAGTCTTGCTCTGTCGCCCAGGCTGGAGTGCAGTGGCATGATCTTGGCTTACTGCAACCTCCGCCTCCTGGGTTCAAGTGATTCTCCTGCCTCAGCCCCCCAGGTAGCTGAGATTACAGGCGTGCGCCACCACGCCTGGCTAATTTTTGTATTTTTAGTAGAGACAGGGTTTCTCTGTTGGTCAGGCTGATTTCGAACTCCTGACCTCAAGTGGTCCGCGTGCCTCAGCCTCCCAAAGTGCTGGGATTAGAGGCGTGAGCCACCGCTCCCGGCTACCTGCTGTCTTTAAAGATCTGATCTAGCTCTGTCGCCCTTGCCGGGAGGCAAGCCCCATGAGTGCAGACCCATGGCCGTCGGTGGTGATGACGGCATCGTCTCCTAGACGCTCAGTCAGTATCTTCAGCTAGGTGAGTCCTGGGCAGGGGTTCTAAGAAGTGCCCTGGGGAAGGGGCAGCAGTAGAGGGAAGCTCTTACCAGCTTGAAGCAATCCTGGAGCTGGGCCAGAGTATCTCTGGCTTGGAACTGGCCGTGCTGCAGGTGGCTCACCGCGTGTTCAAATGCCCGCTGGCGGAAGCTGGGACCCAGGTCACCTAAACGAACGAAGTAGCTCCCCTGCTCCGCCGACAGCACCTTCGGCCCGGGCTGGGAGGCAGCCAGCTGAGCTGGAAAGGAAGGTGCACTGCTCGGTCCCAGAAGCCCCTCAGAGCACTGGGGCTTGGGCTTTATAAAAGTTAAGTGAGGCCGGGCGCAGTGGTTCACGCCCGTAATCCCAGCGCTTTGGGAAGCCAAGGCGGGTGGATCACCTGGGGTCAGGAGTTCGAGACCAGCCTGGCCAACATGGTGAAACCTTATCTTTACCAAAAATACAAAATAATAATAGTAATTAGCCAGGTATGATGGTAGGCGTCTATAATCCCAGCTACTCAGGAGGCTGAGGCAGGAGAATCCCTTGAACCCGGGAAGCATGGAGGTTGCAGTGAGCCGACACTGTGCCACTGCACTCCAGCCTGGGCAGCAAGAGCAAGACTCTGCCTCAAAATTAAGTAAAAATAAAAAATGAAGCTGGGTATAGTGGCTCATGCCTGTAATCCCGGTACTTTGGGAGGCTGAGGCTGGAGGATCACTTGAACCCAGGAGTTTGAGGCCAGTTTCGGCAACATAGGGAGACCTGTCTCTACAAAAAAATACATAGCCGGGCATGGTGGTCCTAGTTCCTTGAGAGGCTGGAGCAGGAGGATCACTTGAGCCCAAGAGGTTGAGGCTGTAGTGAGCTATGAACACACCACTGCACTCCAGTGTGGGCGACAGAGCAAGACCTTGTCTCTAAAAAAAAAGAAAAAGGGCCAGGTGCTCTCATGTGGAATCCCAATACTTTGGGAGGCTGAGGCAGGAGGATCATTTGAGCCCAAACCAAATAAATACGTCTTTTTAAAAAAAGTCAAGGGCCCGCCTGGGGACGGTCTCTCACACCTGTAATCCCAGCACTTTGGGAGGCCAAGACAGGAGGATCACGAGGTCAGGCGATCAAGACCATCCTGGCTAACATGGTAAAACTCCGTCTTTGCTAAAAATACAAAAAATTAGCCGGGCATGGTGGCGGGTGCTTGTAGTCCCAGCTACTAGGGAGGCTGAGGCAGGAGAATGGCGTGAACCCGGGAGGCGGAGATTGCAGTGAGCCGAGATTGTGCCACTGCACTCCAGCCTGGGTGACAGAGCAACACTCCATCTCAAAAAAAAAGAAAAAAGAAAAAAAAGTCAAGGGCCCGCTAGCAGCTGTGCCTGAACCCGGGCATCCCCTCACCTTGCTCCTCTGCATTCATGGGGTGGAAGATGTCCCCCAGTCCCTCCAACTCATTCTGCAGCATCGCCAAGCGTGGGGCTTCGTCGGGGCTGTGTGTGGTGGCCAAAGGCCGTGTGTCCTCCCTGCCCAGGGCGGCCCCTTGGGTGAACGTGGCCACGTCAGTCGCAAGGCTCTTGGTTGTGGCTGCAGCTTCCCAGACAGGCTCCGGGCCTACGCTGAGCATCTCTGGGGGCCTGGAGACACCAGCAAACGGGGCCTCTCGGGGGCTCAGGGCAGTCTGCTCGCCACCATTGTCTGTGGTCCTGGAACTGGTACGTCCACCCCAGGAGGTGGCCTGGGTACTAGGTAACCAATTCTGGAAGGTGCTGAGGCCAGTGTGGATGGCCCCTGTTGCCACGTTCCCTGACCCCATGAGCCCAGCAGACGCTGCATCTTTGGTTCCGGTCAGCACTGCCTTGGTGGTGTCCAGGCCCCCCTGGACGGCCCCTTTGGCCATGCTCATGGCACCGGTCACCCCACTGCAGACGGTGTCCTTGGTACCCGTTAGCACAGCCTTGGAGGTGTCCACGCCAGTCTGCATGGTTCCTTTGGCCACATTCACTGCCCCCATGACTCCAGTAGTCACTGCATCTTTAGTGCCACTCAGCACCGCCTTGGCTGTGTCCACACCTGTCTGAACGGTCCCTTTGGCCACATTCACAGCACCAGTGACTCCACTGCAGACGGTGTCCTTGGTACCGGTTAACACAGTCTTGGTGGTGTCCACGCCGGTCTGGACAGTCCCCTTGGCCAAGTTCACAGCCCCTGTGAGCCCAGTGGACACAGCGTCTTTAGTGCCAGTCAGGACAGACTTGGTGGTGTCCAGGCCCCCCTGGACGGCCGCTTTGGCCACATTCGCGGCACCGGTCACCCCACCGCAGACAGTGTCCTTGGTGCCGGTTAGGACAGTCTTGGTGGTGTCCATGCCAGTCTGGACGGTCCCTTTGGCGACATTCACTGCCCCCATGAGCCCGGTAGTCACTGTGTCCTTGGTGCCGGTCAGCACGGTCTTGGCTGTGTCTACACCCGTCTGGACGGCCCCTTCCGCCACGTTCATGGCACCGGTCACCCCACTGCCAAGGGTGTTCTTTGTACCTGTAGCGATATTTTGGGTCGTTTTCAGTCCAGTTTGCACAGCCCCCTTGGCCACGTTCACGGCACCGGTGACCCCACTGCAGACAGTGTCCTTGGTACCGGTCAGGACAGACTTGGTGGTGTCCATGCCAGTCTGGATGGCCCCTTTGGCCACATTCATGGCACCGGTGACCCCACTGCAGACGGTGTCCTTGGTGCCGGTTAGGACAGTCTTGGTGGTGTCCATGCCAGTCTGGACGGTCCCTTTGGCGACATTCACTGCCCCCATGAGCCCGGTAGTCACTGTGTCCTTGGTGCCGGTCAGCACGGTCTTGGCTGTGTCTACACCCGTCTGGACGGCCCCCTTGGCCACGTTCGCTGCCCCCGTGAGCCCGGTGGACACTGTGTCTTTCGTACCCATGACCACAGACTTGGTGGTGTCCAGGCCCCCCTGGACGGCCCCTTTGGCCACGTTCACTGCACCAGTGACCCCACTGCAGACGGTGTCCTTGGTACCGGTTAACACAGTCTTGGTGGTGTCCACGCCGGTCTGGACAGTCCCTTTGGCCATGTTTACAGCCCCTGTGAGCCCAGTGGACACAGCGTCTTTAGTGCCAGTCAGGACAGACTTGGTGGTGTCCAGGCCCCCCTGGACGGCCGCTTTGGCCACATTCGCGGCACCAGTCACCCCACTGCAGACTGTATTCTTAGTGCCGGTCAGCACGGTCTTGGTGGTGTCCACGCCGGTCTGGACAGTCCCTTTGGCGACATTCACTTCACTGCCCCCAGTCTGTGGTGTCCACCGGTCTGCAGTCCTTGCGCACCTCCCCATGAGCCCGGTAGTCACTGTGTCCTTGGTGCCGGTCAGCACGGTCTTGGCTGTGTCTACACCCGTCTGGACGGCTCCCTTGGCCACGTTCGCTGTCCCCATGAGCCCGGTGGACACAGCGTCTTTAGTGCCAGTCAGGACAGACTTGGTGGTGTCCAGGCCCCCCTGGACGGCCCCTTTGGCCACATTCATGGCACCGGTCACCCCACCGCAGACAGTGTCCTTGGTACCTGTTAGGACCGTCTTGGTGGTGTCCATGCCTGTCTGGATGGTTCCTCTAGCCAAGTTCATGGCACCAGTTACCCCACTACAGATGGTGTCCTTTGTACCTGCTGCGATATTTTGGGTTGTATTCAGCCCAGTTTGCACGGCCCCCTTGGCCACGTTCGCTGCCCCCATGAACCCAGTGGACACTGTGTCTTTTGTACCCATGACCACAGACTTGGTGGTGTCCAGGCCCCCCTGGACGGCCCCTTTGGCCAAGTTCATGGCACCGGTCACCCCACTGCAGACGGTGTCCTTGGTACCGGTTAGGACAGTCTTGGTGGTGTCCACGCCGGTCTGGATGGTTCCTTTGGCCACGTTCACGGCACCAGTCACCCCACTACAGACGGTGTCCTTGGTACCTGTTAGGACAGTCTTACTAGTGTCCACACCGGTCTGAATGGTTCCTCTGGCCACATTCACTGCCCCCGTGAGCCCAGTGGACACAGCATCTTTGGTGCCAGTCAGCACAGCCTTGGAGGTGTCCACGCCAGTCTGGACAGTCCCTTTGGCCAAGTTCACTGCCCCCATGACCCCAGTAGTCACTGTGTCTTTGGTGCCGGTCAGCACTGTCTTGGTGGTGTCCACACCGGCCTGTACGGTCCCTTTGGCCACATTCACTGCCCCCGTGAGCCCAGCGGACACCGTGTCCTTGGTGCCGGTGAGGACAGCCTTCGAGGTGTCCAGACCCCCTTGGGCGGCCCCCTTAGCCATGTCCACAGCCCCCGTGACCCCGCTGGACACCACCTCCTTGGTGCCCGTGAGTGCAGACCGAGTGGTATCCAGGCCTCCCTGGACCACTCCCTTAGCCGCATCCACCACGCTGGCCATCCCGGAGGAGACGGCATCCTTGGCCCTGGACATCTTGGAACACACCAGGTCTTTGGCCCCGGACGCCATTTGCTGAGAAAGGACACAGGTGATCAAGAGAAGGACTGAGAGGCATACTCCACCCCGATGTCCGCCAGCCCAGCCCCCTAGTGTGCCTTGAGGCAAGGAACTGCAGCCACCCAGAGGCCCCCACCTTCTCAAAAAGCAAGCTGCTTCCTCACCCCAACCCTGGTCAATCACTCATCAGGCTGTAGGGTGGCACCCTGGCTCTCCAGGACAAAGTCCTCATGAGCTCACAGCACCAGCCTCTTTCATTCTCACGCATCCCCTTCCCCTGCTGTAGGCAGGCCTCGTCCATGACAGCACGTCCCAGGCCTGGACTCAACCAAGGTCCCCAGGCCTGGACTCGGCGCAGGTCTTACAGTTACCTCTCTGTTCCTCCTGCTTATTCTCCATTCATGGCAAATGTTGAGCCTGGTGCCCTAGTGACACCAGGGAGACCAAAACTGCTTATTAAAAATCATTATATCCAGGCTGGGTGTGATGGCTGATGCCTGCAATCTTAGCACGTTGGGAGCCCAAGGTGGGAGGATCACTTGAGCCCAGGAATTCAAGATCAGCCTGGGTAACCAAACAAGACCCAGTCTCTACAAAATTTTAACAATTGGCTGGGTGGTGGTGCACACCTGTAGTCCCAGCTACTTGGGAGGCTGAGGCGGGAGGATTGCTTGAGTCCAGAAGGTTGAGGCTGTAGTGAAATATGATCATACCACTGTACTCCAGCCTGGGCAACAGAATAAGATTCTGTCTCAAAAATAATAATATATTCAGGCTGGGCGCAGTGGTTCACGCCTGTAATCCCAGCACTGTGGGTGGCTAAGGTGGGAGGATTGCTTGAGCCCAGGAGTTTAAGAGCAGCCTGGGCAACAGTGAGACCCCATGTAATTACAAGGAGTAATTGGGGCTCGTGCCTGTAATCCCAGCACTTTGGGAGGCCAAGGCAAGTGGATCACCTGAGGTCAAGAGTTCGAGACCAGCCTGACCAACATGGTGAAACTCCATCTCTACTAAAAATACAAAAATTAGCTGGGCCTGGTAGTGGGCACTTGTAATCCCAGCTACTCTGGAGGCTGAGGCAGGAGAATCGCTTGAACCCAGGAGGCGGAAGTTGCAGTGAGCCGAGATCGCGCCATTGCACTCCAGCCTGGGTGACAGAGCAAGACTCTGTCTCAAAAAAATAATAAAAGTAGGCCAGGCGTGGTGGCTCACGCCTGTAACCCCAGCACTTTGGGAGGCCGAGACGGGCGGATCACGAGGTCAGGAGATTGAGACCATCCTGGATAACACAGTGAAACCCCGTCTCTACTAAAAATACAAAATATTAGCCGGGCATGGTGGCGGGCGCCTGTAGTCCCAGCTACTTGGGAGGCTGAGGCGGGAGAATGGCGTGAGCCAGGGAGGCAGAGCTTGCAGTGAGCCGAGATCGCGCCACTGCACTCCAGCCTGGGCAACATAGTGAGACTCGGTCTCAAAAATATATATATATATTAATAGTAATAAAAGTAAAAAAATAAAAGCAAAAATGAATGATGGTGATAGCCTAGGAGTTCTAACACTCAGGTGTACCTATGAGGTACTGTTTTGTTTGTTTTTTGAGACAGAGTCTCACCCTGTCACCCAGGCTGGAGTGCAGTGGCACAATCTCAGCTCACTGCAGTCTCTGCCTCCTGGGTTCAAGCAATTTTCCTGCCTCAGCCTCCTGAGTAGCTGGGATTACAGGTGCCTGCCACCACGCTCGGCTACTTTTTGTATTTTTAGTAGAGACGGGGTTTCACCATGTTGGCTAGGCTGGTCTCAAACTCCTGAGCTCAATTGATCTGCCTGCCTCAGCCTCCCCAAAGTGTTGGGATTACAGGCATGAGCCACCACGCCCGGCCAAGGTGCTGTTTTAATTCAGTAAGTTCTCAACTGGGTGATTCTGCCTCCAGGGGGCACTGGGTGATGTCTGGAGATATCTGTAGTTGTCACAACTTGGGGAGACTCCTGGCACGGAGTAGGTGGAGGCCAGGGATGCTGCTCGGCACCCTGCAGTGCCCAGGATGGCCCCACCCCAGAGAATGATCCAACCCCAGATATCCGCAGGACTGAGATTGAGAAGCCCTGAAATTATCTTCTCAGAACCCGTCTCCCCACTAACTTTGGCTCAGGTGAGCACCTTGGGCTCTGTAGTTGGAGAGACCCAGATTCAAGTCACAGCTTTTTACCCTCTCCTGCCCAACACTCACTGTGTGTCCTTAGGCAAGTCACATGCCCTCTCTGAGCTCATATCCTCGTCTGGAAAATGCTGATTAAAACAGCTCCTCTTGCCGGGCGTGGTGGCTCACGCCTTTAATCCCAGCACTTTGGGAGGCTGAGGTGGGTGGATCACGAGGTCAAGAGTTCGAGACCAACCCGACCAACATGGTGAAACCCCATCTCTACTAAAAATACAAAAATTAAGGCCGGGCGCGGTGGCTCACACCTGTAATCCCAGCACTTTGGGAGGCTGAGGTGGGTAGATCACGAGATCAGAAGATCGCCACCATCCTGGCTAACACGGTGAAACCCCGTCTCTACTAAAAAATACAAAAAATTAGCCAGGCGTGGTGGTGGGTGCCTGTAGTCCCAGCTACTCGGGAGGCTGAGGCAGGAGAATGGTGTGAACCTGGGAGGCGGAGCTTGCAGTGAGCTGAGATCATCCCACTGCACTCCAGCCTGGGCGACACAGCAAGACTCCATCTCAAAAAAAAAAAAAAACATTAGCCGGGCATGGTGGTGGGCACTTGTCCCAGCTACTCGGGAGGCTGAGGCAGGAGAATCGCTTGAACCTGGGAGGTAGAGGTTGCAGTGAGCTGAGATCGTGCCATTGCACTCCAGCCTGGGTGAAACAGCGAAACTACGTCTCAAAAAAAATAAAAGTAGAAGAAATAAAGTGGTTACGCTGCTGTTGATTTGGTTGCATCGTGCCAGGCACAGCCCTGTGTAGACTGGAGCCTTACGTGATTAGAGTGAGGTAGCACCGCACCCATTTCACAGATGTGGAAATAGAGGCTCAGAGGGGAAGCTCTGCCTGGGATCCCCAGGCTGTCTGCCTTCCCTGAGGCCCACAGCAGCCCCCCAGATGGCAGGAGCTAAAATGTCCCAGGAGGGGGCACCCCCAGGGCTCCTGCCACATCAGACCCTGCCCTGCACGTGCCTCTCACCTTTTCCGAAGGTTGCAACTCCTTCTCCGTCCATGGGGCCGTCTGCTCTGGGTGGGCGGCCACTGTGGGGACAGGGGCTGGTCAGGGAGGGCGAGGGGATGCAGGTTAGGACCATCTACCGGGCTGCCCATTGTGCAATAGCCAGGCACGGCCTGAAAGGTCAGGAATGTTTCAGCTACCCCGCCAGGGACAGCAGGAGGTGACATCCACGGCTACCAGCCAGAACTGGTCTCCCCCCAACAGTGCTGGGGGCTCCCCCCAAGCCTAGGGCCGCTGTTCCCCGAAGCAGGGTTCCATGGTACTTCCTCTGCTGGGTGCTGGACACCCACCCTGAGTCCCGGGATTCACAGAGCCTGGGGTCGGGGAGCAGCCCCTTGCCCAACCCACCCCGCCCCCGCTGCAGCTGCCTGCTGCCTGTCGCCAGGCCAAGGTATGTGGAGCAGAAGTCAGCTGCCTGGGGCTCTGGGCCCAGAGGGAGGCCCAGCTCAGGCGGCCGCCCCATTCCTGGGTTCCCTGTCATTGTCCCTGATTGCTCAAGCTGAGCCACAGGAGGCTGGGGAGCTCCCGGGCTGTGTGACCCCAGGGGAGCTGCTGCTTCTGCCTGGGAGTCTGGATCTCACTCTGATGAGCCCAGAGGGGCAGAGCACCCAGCCTGGTCCATGGTGCATCAGAAACGGGGTGCAGGGTGGGGGAACGGCCGAGGGACTGAGTGGGGGGCATTGCAGGGAGACAGGCTGGGTTGAAAGCCACCTTCAGTCACTCACCCCCCATATTTATGCCTCAGTTTCCCCATCCGCCACAAGATGTCCCCCACACAGGCAAATATGGAGGGCTCGCCAAATGGCCAGAAGTCCCTGCCGGGGGAGCTCCTCCTCCCAGGTCCATGTGTAGAGTCCCCCCGCACCCCCAGCTGGGCCGGCACTCACCCTGAGCCTGTGGTCGGGCAGCCTCGGCGGCAGGCGCTCCTGCGGGGTCAGTGGCTGGCCGGGCTCTCGCCGAGCTATGTGCATTGGCCACCAGGTTCCGGGCAGAGCTGAAGCCAGGAAGGGACCCAAAGAAGCTGCCCAGGGTCTGCATTGGGGAGGGGGAGGTGTGCAGGATGAGCGGGCCAAGCCTCGGCAGGGACAGGGGTCCCAGGAAGCATCGATCAGCCCAATGCCACCCCAGCCCCTTGCTCCCACGTGACCTCGGGAAACTGTTTCAGCCACTCAGCCTCAGTTTCCACACCTGGGCAATGGGCAGACTCAGCTTGCCTCCCGTGCACAGAGGAAAAGATCTCCAAAGACCTTTTCTCCAAAGACCTTTTCCTTCCAGGACCTCCACTGCACAGATGGGGAAACTGAGGCTCAGAGAGGGGCAGAGCTGAGGCCGGCCCAAGGTCACCCGCTGGGGAAGGTGCCAAGGTCTGCGTGGGTCCCCCACCTCCAGCTTGGGTCAGGAAGGAAGGGGTTGGCATCATGGCTCCCAGAGCCTCCCCGCCAGCCCACCAAGGAAGCACCTCTCCAGACGTGAGACCCCAGGACTATGGAGGTCACCTTCCCTGACTCTGGAGCATGTCCAGGCCCCAGCAAGAATCTGCCCCCCATTTCCTTTCTTTACCTTGCCCTTGGGTTTGGGGGGATCCCGTCTCCCTTCGTCCGGAGCAGACATAGTGAGAATGTGAGAAGCTGGAAGGGGGTAGAGAAGGTGCGTGAATAGGGGTTCCCCAGCCTCCCATCCCACACCCACTCCTCCCGAGAGCCTCAGCAGTCCCCGACACCCACCTGCAGGCCTGGCCTCACCCTGGTGTCACTGAAGCAGACGCGGCCCCGTTCACCTGGACTGCGCGAGGGTCCCCCTGAGGACGGACTGGCCCGGCTGGCAGCTGGCTCTGCCCTTGGCTCCCTGGCCTTATAGGGTCCAGGGCAGGCGCAGGCCCAGCCGGCAGGGGCAAGCGGCCAATGGGCCCGGGGGAGGCGGCCTGGACGGTCACGTGACCACCTGCCCAGCCCAGTGTGGGCCCGGGCCCAGCACCTTTCCCCTGTTCCCTGCCCACAGCTTGCACCAGGCTGAGTGGCTCACAGGCCAGCTGGGCTCCCTTCCCTTCCCCCCCGAGGGACTGCCTATGTGCCCATCCTGCCTCCAGTTCCATCCACAAGATGGGTATAGTTCAAATCCCCACTGTGCCAGGACGCCTTGCCTCGTTACCATCTTTGTGCCTCAGTTTCCTGTCTCGTGCTCTGCACCATGTCCCGTAGTGTCCAGCTTCCTCCTTCACTTGCTTCACCCCAGTCACACAGGCCTCCTCGCTGTGCCTCTAGCACACCTGGCACTGTCCTGCCTTAGGGCCTCTGCACGGGCCGTGCCCTCTGCCTGGAACACCTCCCCACAGGTTCCCACAGAACAGTGCCTGGCATACATTTGGTGCTTAATACCGTTTGGCTCAGTAGAACAACAGAGAGTGATTGTGAGCCTCTGTGAGATGAGGTCATGCACTGAACAAATGCTACCTTTGCGTTACCCAGGCAGAAGCAGGGTCTCAGGGTCTCTGCGAGGAGCAGAGGGTGTCCTCAGTGTGGAGGGGAGCCTGTCACTCTCCAGAAGGGACTTAGACCAAAATGCAGACCAAGATGGAGCACCAGCCAAGCTGGGGGCACCCTAGGAGTGAAAACCCAACCTGGGGGGCTTGGGCCAACCCACGGAGGCTCCCTGGAGGAGGCGTCCTGTTCCAAAAAAAACTAGTGAGGACGGGATTCAAACCCAGACCCGGAACCTTCGTGCCGAGCCCAGCCTATGTGCTGGGCTGGCTGTGGGTGGGTGGGCAGAGGAATGGCTGTGACGCCCACCCTGGGCTGTGTCCCCCTCCTACCTGCCTCCGAGACAGGATTCCTAGCCCTGTGTTATTGGGGGTGAGAGGGCAGACCCCATGGGTGGCTCTGGGCACTGGGCTGGGAGGAGGGAGGGTCCAGCCACAGGATCTGATGATTCCCAGGCCGTCTGTCTCCTTGGAGCCGACACTGTGTTTGCTAAACAGTGGGGGAACAACGGGGGGAAGTCCCCCAACCTCTCCTACCAGCCAGTGCTTCCCAAGGGTGGCTGGGAGAGCTCTGGGTGCCCCTCCTCTTCCCAAAGGGCGGCCACAGCCCAGTGTGTGGGGAGAAAAAATAAATAAGTGATCACAAACATCCCAGCCAGGACCTGCCCCTCCTCTGCCCAGCACCCTCCATGGCTCCCACCTTCCCCGGGGTAGGAGCCAGGGGTCAAAGCCCAAGTCCCCCCTCCCTACAGCCCGCTAGGCCCTGCATAACCTGCCTCATCCTCTCCCCACCTTCCCCTCTTCCTTCTCCTCACTCTGCTCCAGTAACACGGGCCTTTTCACTGTTCCCATAACACACCAGGACAGTGGAGTCCCTCAAAGACACACGTGACTGTGCCTGCTTAGCCCCCGACACCCTGCCTCAGGGCCTTCATGCAGGTTGTTGCTTTTGCCTCCAGCACCCTTTCTCACATCCCTCACCTCCTTCCAGATCTTTCCTCAAATATCACTTCCTCCAAGAGGCCTTCCTGGATCCCCTCTCCCTTTAAAAAATATATACCTCAGGCCAGGTGCCATGGCTCACTCTGTAATCCTAGCATTTAGGGAGACCCAGGCAGGAGGATTGGCTTGAGATCAGGAGTTTGAGACCAGCCTGGGTGACAGAGCGAGATCCACATCTCAAACGAAAAATAAATAAATAAAATAAATTTACATATATTTATGTATATTTAAATATATATATTTTTTCTTTTGAGACGGAGTCCCGCTCTGTCACCCAGGCTGGAGTGCAATGGCGCCATCTTGGCTCACTGCAAGCTCCACCTCCTGGATTCATGCCGTTCTCCTGCCCCAGCCTCCCGAGTAGCTGGGACTACAGGCTCCCGCCACCACACCCGGCTAATTTTTTGTATTTTTAGTAGAGACGGGGTTTCACTGTGCTAGGCAGGATGGTCTCGATCTCCTGACCTCGTGATCCACCCACCTTGGCCTCCCAAAGTGCTGGGATTATAGGCGTGAGCCACCGTACCCAGCCGCCCAAAAAATATTTTTAAATAAAAATTAAACAAATTAATGGGCCAGGCACGGTGGTTCATGCCTGTAATCCCAGCACTTTGGGAGGCCAAGGCCGGTGGATCACCTGAGGTCAGGAGTTTGAGACCAGCCTGACCAACATGGCGAAACCCTATCTCCACTAAAAATACAAAAGTCAGCTGTGTGTGGTGGCACACGCCTGTAGTCCCAGCTACTCAGGAGGCTGAGGCAGGAGAATCACTTGAACCCGGGAGGTGGAGGTTGCAGTGAGCTGAGATCGCGCCACTGCACTCCAGCCTGGGTGACAGAGACAGACTCTGTCTCAATAAATAAATAAATAAATAAATAAATAAATAAATAAATCCCAGAGCTTAGCTCAACCCATTCTCTTTTCCTCACCTCTGCTCCAGTGAAACTGATTTCCCTACTGCTGTGCCTTTCCCTAAGCTGTTCCCTCTGCCAAAATGCTTATCCCTGTGTGTTGTTCTGATCATCCTCAACAGGCCTGGCCCTGCCAGGAGCCCCCAGCCTCATGTGGGAAAAGACAAGGCTGCCTGTCGTTATAAGTCAAGGTGGAAAGGGCAAGAAACCTTGAGAAGGTGACCTGTGGAGGACCGGAGGAGGGAGGTATCCAGCTGGGATAGAGCCCAGGAAGCCTTCCTGGAGGAGGCGGCATTGAGGCTGGGCCTTCAGGATGTATGAGATGTGTCCGAGGGACGGATAGGGGGTGGGAAGGGCATTCCAGGTGGCCACACAGCCTCAGCAAAGGCCCAGAGGTGGGAATGTGCCCACTTCCATGGGCGTAGAGCAAAGTATCCAGGTCAGGCTGGAGGAGGAAGCTGGAAGTTGAAGAGTTTGGTCTGTGGGCAGCGGGGACTTGTGGGAAGTTCCAGAACAGGATCAGGGAGGTGGATTTGGCTGGTGGAAGTGGTCGGAGATCCCAGAGCCGCCCTCTGGACCACGTCCCAGGGAAGTCAGGGGCCACCCTGACCTCACCATACCACGCTATGGTTTCCTAACACCCCACGCAGTCCCAGGGGAGTTGACGGAGCAGCCAGAAATGCGGTCAGAGGACAGGAGGGAACCCCCGAGACCAGCCCATGGCCCTTGCCCTGCCTCTGTCTTCCCATCCTGACCAGCGCAGCTGGAGAGATCACAGCAAGACCAGCTCCTGCAGGACCAGGAGGTGGGAAGACAGCTGCTCCATCTGACTCCTTCCCCTTCTGTTCTGCTCCCTGCAATTTCCACGAAATTCACCTGGACCAAGATGCGAACAGCTTCCATGCGACCGAAGGGGCGATGCTCTTGTTTATTTTTAGAGACAGGGTCTCGCTCTGTTGCCCAGACTGGAGCGGAGTGGTTACCGATCAAAGCTCACTGCAGCTTCAACATCCTGGGTTCGAGGGATCCTGCTGCCTCAGCCTCCTGAGTAGCTGGGGCACAGGCTCGCACCATGCCTATTTTTAAATTTTTTTTTTTTTTTTTTTTTTTTTTTTGAGACGGAGTCTCGCTCTGTCGCCAGCTGGGTGCAGTGCCAGATCTCAGCTCACTGTAGCTCCCCTCCCGGTCCCCATTCCCCTCAGCTCCCGATAGCTCTACCCCCCCCTCCCCTAGTTTTTTCTTTTAGTAGGACTTCCCGTGTTGCAATGTTTATCTCCTGCTCGTGACCGCCGTCCGCCTCCCAAGTGCTGGGATACAGCTTGCCACCGCCCGGCCCTATTTTTAAAATTTTTTGTAGAGAGAAGGTCTCGCTATGTTGCCCAGGTTGGTGTCAAAACTCCTGGGCTCATACAATTCTCCCACCTCAGCCTCCCAAAGTGCTGGGATTACAGGTGTGAGCCATATGCCCGACAATTTTTTTTTTTTTTTTTTTTTGAAACAGACTCTCGCTCTGTCGCCCAGGCTGGAGTGCAGTGGCTGGATCTCAGCTCACTGCAAGCTCCGCCTCCCGGGTTAACGCCATTCTCCTGCCTCAGCCTCCCGAGTAGCTGGGACTACAGGCGCTCGCCACTTTGCCCGGCTAGTTTTTTGTATTTATTTTTTTTTTTTTTTTGAGACGGAGTCTCGCTCTGTCGCCCAGGCTGGAGTGCAGTGGCCAGATCTCAGCTCACTGCAAGCTCCGCCTCCCGGGTTCACGCCATTCTCCTGCCTCAGCCTCCCGAGTAGCTGAGACTACAGGCGCCCGCCACCTCGCCTGGCTAGTTTTTTGTATTTTTTAGTAGAGATGGGGTTTCACCGTGTTAGCCAGGATGGTCTCGATCTCCTGACCTCGTGATCCACCCATCTCGGCCTCCCAAAGTGCTGGGATTACAGGCTTGAGCCACCGCGCCCGGCCGTTTTTTGTATTTTTAGTAGAGACGGGGTTTCACCGTGTTAGCCAGGATGGTCTCGATCTCCTGACCTCGTGATCCGCCCGTCTCGGCCTCCCAAAGTGCTGGGATTACAGGCTTGAGCCACTGCGCCCGGCTGCCCGACTAGTTTTAAGTTGCAATGCTTACCCCACGTGGGCTGGGCAGTAATGATGGATCCCAGACAGGATGACAGGCAGGTCAGAGAAGCACCATTCTTCCAGATCTTGAACCCTGGCTCTACACAGCCCCTCCCTCTCCGTCTCTGCGGTGACACACCTCCGTGGCCCCCAGCCCCCTGGGATTGAGACCCACCCTGGCTGGAACACACATGGGCCTTTCAACATCAAAAAGGACCTTTATTCTGGGGGCAAATCTCAAACAGCAAAGCAAGCGGGTGTGGCAGGCTGAGCAGCACAGCCCACGGGCATCTTCGGGGAACCCACCAGTCCAGGATGTAAAAACTGAGGGAGGAGGAGGACTCCCTTGTCCAAGTTCCAAATAGGGCAAAAGGTGTGTTTCCCTGGAAAGTATTTTTTTAAAAAATGAGATAAGGTCTTGCTTTGTCACCCAGGCAAGAGTGCAGGGGCCAGATCATGGCTGACTGTAGCCTCCAACTCCTGGGCTCAAGCAGTCCTCCCACCTTGGCCTCCCAAAGTGCTGTGATTACAGGCGTCAGCCACCACACCCAGTCAGGGCTCACTTTTCAAAGCCCCAAACAGCAGGCATTGGGCAAAATGTGTGTTTGTTTCTTGGGGAGGCTGTTATTATTATTTTTTAGATAGAGTCTTGCTCTGTCACCCAGGCTGGTGTACAGTGGCGCAATCTCTGCGCACTGCAACCTCCCGCCTCTCGGGTTCAAGCAATTCTCCTGCCTCAGCCTCACAAGTAGCTGGGACTTACAGGTGCACACCACCACGCCTGGCTTTTTTTTTTTTTTTAAATAGAGATGGGGTTTCATCATGTTGGCCAGGATGGTCTCGAACTCCTGACCTCAGATGATCCACCCGCCTCGGCCTCCCAAAGTGCTGAGATTAGAGGCATCAGCCACTGTGCCCAGCCTCTTGGAGAGGTTTGGATTAGCTTCATGGAGCCAGGGAGCAGGACATAGGTGAAGAACCCAGCTCGTGGCTCAAGCTGGCCTGAATTGGGTTCGAGGTCCTGCTCCCCCTGGGCCTCTTTGTCCATGTGTGCAAGGAAAAAATGGGAGAGTCTAATACCAAAAACGTGGTCAGGGATCCTGAGTTGGGTCTGATTCTACAGAAGGGTCAAGGCCAAGACCTTGTGCTTACGTGTGGCCACCAGGGGGCAGCAGGGATCTGGGCATGTAGGTGGCCTTTCCTCCCAGCCTCCACTGGCCCATGTGGTCAGAAGTCCAGCTCGGGCATCAGGGTGTGCTTGACCGAGCAGCTGGGGGTTTCGGGTTCCTGCTCACAGATGTCCCCGGCGACACCCATCCCGTCCCCATCACCATTCCCATCCCTGTGCTGGGCCTCCCAGGCTCTCTGCTGGGCCGGCCAGTCCAGGTGCGCCCAGCGGGGGTCAGGGCCCCCGATGACCTCATCCACCTGGTCCGCCAGGTCAGGCAGGGGCTCGGGTCGCTCCACAAGGATGGGTGCAAAGGGTCCCACCAGCCAGGGCAGCGGCACGGCCTGCACCACCAGCTCCAGCAGCTCATCCACGCAGGCGTGTGCTCGGGCCACGCTACCCCGGCCCTCGGCCAGCACGGCTGCTGGCACATCCCTGAAGCAGCGGGCATCAGCGAAGGCAGTCTGCAGGGCGTCCACGCTGCGCCGCACCTCAGCCACCTTCTCCTGGGCGCTGGGGGGCAGGCCCCGCACACTGGACTCCAGGGCCTCTACCGTGCCCTGCAGCTCCTGCGTCAGGCTGCGGGACAGCACCAGCGTCTCCAGCTCTGCCTGCAGGGGGCAGGGACCTCAGTTCCCCCTATGGACGCCCAGGACTGCTGTCCTGCCTCAGTTTCTCTGATGGACCTACAGTGGGGCTGTCAACCTGTCTCATAGACCTCATAGTCCTGTCCCCCATAGACACAGAATGTGACCCAGCCCTGCCTTGGTCTCCTTTATAAACACACAATGGGGCTGGGCGCGGTGGCTCACACCTGTAATCCCAGCACTTTGGGTGGCCGAGTCGGGCAGATCACCTGAGGTCAGGAGTTCAAGACGGTCAACATGGCAAAATCCCGTGTCTACCAAAAATACAAAAATTAGCCAAGTGTGGTGATGGGCGCCTGTAGTCCCAGCTACTCAGGAGGCTAAGACAGGAGAATCGCTTGAACCCGGGGGAGGCAGGGCGGAGGTTGCAGGTGAGCTGAAATCGGCGCCACTGAATCCAGCCTGGGGCGAGAGGGATCCAGTCAGAATAAACCACTGACAGGGAGCTTAATCGAGGCGAGGTGCGGCGGACCGCAGCTCCAGCCTGGGCGACAGAGGAGACTCAATAAATAAATAAATAAATAAAAATCAAGTGGGCTGGGCACAGTGGCTCAAGCCTGTAATCCCAGCACTTCGGGAGGCTGAGACAGGCGGATCACGAGGTCAGGAGATCTAGACCATCCTGGCTAACCCAGTGAAACCCCGTCTCCACTAAAAAATACAAAAAACTAGCCGGGCGAGGTGGCGGGCGCCTGTAGTCCCAGCTACTCGGGAGGCTGAGGCAGGAGAATGGCGTGAACCCAGGAGGCGGAGCTTGCAGTGAGCTGAGATCCGGCCACTGCACTCCAGCCTGGGCGACAGAGCCAGACTCCATCTCAAAAAATAAATAAATAAATAAAGTGGAAGGTGGAGACATGGTTTCTAGGCTATAGGATCAGGGAGAGAATGTGGAGGGCAGGAAAGAGAGAAGGAGCGGGAAGCCAGGGACAACTGCCTGCCTGGGCCAGCACCCCTTCTTCCCTCACCTCCCTGCATCTCAAAAATAAATAAATAATAAAACAATAAAACTCCATCTCAAAATACATACATAAGTAAAATAAAAACACAGTGGGACTTAAACCTGCCTCAGTTTCCCCCCATGGACACCTCGACTAGCTGACTCAGCACTTGGTTTGAGATAGCTTGAGCTGGGTCCCCGACAGCACTGGGCTGATCTGCAATCCGTCACTCCCCGTCTTCCTCCACGGCCTGGCGGCAGACACCACCTCACCTGGCACTCCTGCGGTCTCACCTGGCGCCCTGAAAGTCTCACCTGGCTTCGGCGGCGGGTCTTCGGATTGCACTGGCCCCATTCCCCCCATAGTTCGTGCACCTTCCCGGGGCAGGCCGGGGTGGTGGGGGTCACCCCACACTGCATGTGGTCTATCTGCAAGGACAGAGACGGTGGTCTTCAGAGCTGAGGGATCTGGGGGTGGGGGTGGGGGTGGGGTCCAGGACCAATGATTTGGCCTCAGTAAGCATTTAGGAGACAGAGGCAGGTTGTGCAGGGCCCTGGGGAAGACTTGGGCTTGGACCCCAAGGCAGGTGGGAGCCATAGAGGGCTGTGGGCAGAGAAGAGACGGACCTGACTCAGGGGCTCACAGGTGCCCTCTGGTGGCTGCTGTGGGGAGGGACGCGCTGAGGATGGGAGGATTCTGATGAGGAGGGCACCAGAAGAGGAAGGTTCTCTTCTGACCTACCCTAACTCGCTCTAAATTCCAGCTCCTCCTTCCCCTCTTCCACAAAACCCCTCCCCGACTCCCCAGGCAGAGTCATGACACCCCTGGGCTCCTCCAGGCCCGGGTCCCCCAGCGCTGAATACACACAGCTGGAGACAGCTGCACCCAGCTCCGCCTCCCGCTTCGGGCTAGCCCGGGATCCGGTATTCAGTTGGCGCTCAATCCATACTGATTGGCCTGCATCCTGGAGCAGGGGTGGGTCGCGGGCTCTCACCAGCTCCAGCGTCTCCTGCAGCTGGGCCAGGGTGTCCTGGGCACGGTGTTTGCTCTGCCTCAGTTTCCCCAGAGAGTGCTCGTAGGCCAGGTGGCGAATCCGCGCCGACAGGGAGCCGAGGCGCACAAAGTAGCCCTGCTGTCTCCTCTGATCCTCCACCGAACCCACTTCCGGGCCCTCGGCCTCAGCCGCCAGTGCCGCTGGAGGACAGGATTCGGGGACAGCGCGGGGTCAGCACGGCCACCCCCTCTCCACCTCTGCTCTCCCACCTCTGGGTACAGAAGCCACAGGTTCCCACGTTCACAGTTCCCCTCGACTGACATCAACCCATCTGGTCTTCCCCAAGCTGTAAGATGTAGGCACTATGGTGGGTCCTGTTTTACACAGGAGGAAAACTGAGGCAAGGGAGAGGTGAGATCCTGCAAGATGCAAGAAGCATATCTGGATTGGAACCCAGGCACGTTGGCCCCAAACTGCTTAACCATTTTTTTTTTTTTTTGAGATGGAGTCTTGCTCTGTGCCCCAGGCTGGAGTGCAGTGGCGTGATCTCGGCTCACTGCAAGCTCCGCCCTCCCTCCCCCCGGCCCCCGCCCCGGGTTCACGCCATTCTCCTGCCTCAGCCTCCCGAGTAGCTGGGACTACAGGCGCCCGCCACCTCACCTCGCCCGGCTAATTTTCTTGTATTTTTAGTAGAGACGGGGTTTCACCGTGTTAGCCAGGATGGTCTCGATCTCCTGACCTCGTGATCCACCCGCCTCAGCCTCCCAAAGTTTTTTTTTTTTTTTTTTTTTTTTGAGATGGAGTCTTGCTCTGTCCCCCAGACTGGAGTGCAGTGGCGCTATCCCAACTCACTGCAACCTCCGCCTCCCAGGATCAAGCGATTCTCCTGCCTCAGCCTCCTAAGGAGCTGGGACCACAGGCGTGCACCTCCACACTCGATTAAGTTTTGTTTTTTTAGTAGAGGTGAAACCTCTACTAAAGTTTTGTTTTTTTAGTAGGGTTTCACCATGTTGGCCAGGCTGTTCTAGAACTCCTGAGCTCAACTGATCCGCCTGCCTCGGACTCCCAAAGTGCTGGGTTAAGCAGCCTTTAAAACATATAGGTTGGGTGCAGCGGCATGCACCTGTAATCCCAGCACTTTGGGAGACCGAGATAGGAGGACTGCTTGAGCCTAGGGAGGATTACTTTGAGACCAGCTCAGGCAATATAGCAAGACCCCATCTCTAGAAAAGAAATACAGAAATTAGCCAGGGCCGGGCACAGTGTGGCGTGTGCCTGTAGTCCCAGCTGCTTGAGAAGCTGAGGCAGGAGGATCACATGAGCCCAGGAATTCAAGGCTGCAGTGAGCTATGATCACACCACTGCCCTGTAGCCTAGGTAACAGAGCAAGACCCCATCTCAAAAAAGATTAAAATTTAAAAAAGAATGAAAAAAAAAAAAAAATCCACACAAGACATGGTGAAAATAAAAAAGAATATATCGTAGTCCAGGCACAGTGGCTCACACCTATAATCTCAGCACTTTGGGAGGCCAAGGCAGGGGGATCACTTGAGCCCAGGAGTTGGAGACCAGCCTGGCCAACATAGCAAGACCCCATCTCTACAAAAAAAATTTTTTTAATCAGCCAGATGTGGTGGTATGCACCTCTATTCCCAGCTGTCCAGGAAGATGAGGCAGGAGAATCACTTGAACCCCGGAGGCAGAAGCTGCAGTGAGCCGAGATCACACCACTGCACTTCAGCCTGGGCGACAGAGCGAGACTCCATTTCAAAAAAAAAAAAAAAAAAAAAAGGTGATTGGGTGTGGTGGACTCACGCCTGTAATCCCAGCACTTTGGGAGGTCAAGGCAAGCGGATCACCTGAGGTCAGGAGTTTGGTCAACATGCGAAACTGCATCTCTACTAAATACACAAAAATAGCCGGGTGTAGTGGTGGATGCCTGTTATCCCAGTTAATCAGGAGGCCGAGGCCGGAGAATCGCTTGAACCCAGGAGGCAGAGGTTGTAGTGAGCTGAGATCGCAATACTGCACTCCAGCCTGGGTGACAGAGTGAAATTTTGTCTCAAAAAAAAAAAAAAAAATTCAGGAGTGCCTGGCACACAAGAAGTACCTAATCAATGCCTCACTGCAGTTTTTTTTTTTTTTTTTTTTTTTGGAGATGGAGTCTTGGTCTGTCACCCAGGCTGAAGTACAATGGTGCCATCTCGACTCACTGCAAGCTCCGCTTCCTAGGTTCAAGTGATTCTCCTGCCTCAGCCTCCCAAGTAACTGGGATTACAGGCACCCACCAACACACCCAGCTAATTTTTTGTATTTTTAGTAGAGATGTGGTTTCACTATGTTGGCCAGGCTGGTCTCGATCTCCTGACCTCGTGATCCGCCCGCCTTGGCCTCACAAAGTGCTGGGATTACAGGCGTGAGTCACCGTGCCTGGGAGTGTCTCTAGTTTTTCAAAACAAGCCAAGAATTGGGACATGTAATGCAAAATCTGGTTGTTAAATGCATGCAAGGAATGAAAATATTTAAAACACACTGCATGGGCATTTGGGGGTCCACCAGTTTGGGACCTCAAGTTAAAAGCTATAGGGCGGGCGCGGTGGCTCACGCCTGTAATCCCAGCTTTGGGAGGCCGAGGGGCGGATCACAAGGTCAGGAGATCAAGACACGGTGAAACCCCGTCTCTAAAAAATTACAAAAAATTAGCCGCGCGTGTGGCGCCTGTAGTCCCAGCTACTCGGAGGCTGAGGCAGGAGAATGCGTGAACCCGGGAGGCGAGCTTGCAGTGAGCCGAGATCGCGCCACTGCACTCCAGCCTGGGCTGGGCGACAGAGCGAGACTCCGTCTCAAAAAAAAAAATAAATAAAAAATTAATAAATAAATAAATAAAAAATTAAAGGCCTATACGTCCTTAGGGTCTGGGTATTCTGACTCCTGGCAGGATGCAGGTTGGGAGACCATGGAAGTGACTGGGAGGGAGGAGGGAGGACGGGCCTGGTTTCAAGTACTGTGTTTCCTGATCTGCTGTGTGACCTTGGGTGAGTCTCAGACCTCTCTGATCTGTATCACAGGGGGATGTGGACTGGGCAGGAGGACTCAGCGGTTAGGGATGAGGGTGTCGTCCTCACCGAGCTCTTCCTCCGTCATGGGCAGGAAGTGATCCACCAGCTCCTCTGATTTTTCCAGCACAACGTCCATGGCATGGCTCACAGAGCGCTTCAGCTCCACGCTCCAGCGCCGGCCACGCCGGGCCAGGTCCACCACACCCGTGACACTGCTGGCCACCGCGTCCTTGGCCGAGGTCACCACCTGGAAGGAAGGGCCCCCCCTACTCCAGGCACCGCGGGACTCCAGCTCCATTTCTGCCACCCTAGTTCCCTGGGGCTGGGACTCAAAGATCCCTGGACTTCCTCCTGGCTCCGTGCCTCAGTTTCCCCTATAAAAGGGATGATGAAACCCTTCCCTCAGAGGGTGTTGAGGCAGTTACCCGCCCTTACTAGCAATACATATATATACACACACACATATATACACACATATACCTATATATACATATATACACATACATATATACATGTATAAATATATGTATATGTATACTATATGTACATGTATACTATATATACATGTATGTGTGTGTATATATGTGTGTGTGTGTGTGTATATATATATTGCAGTTATCTTAACCTGGCTGTTTTTTCTCGAGTTAACTAAAAGCCTGGCTGGCACCATCCCTTCCTCCCTCCCACCTCTACTCTGGCCTGCCCCCACTGGAGGTCCCCATGTCTAGTTATCTGGGGTACCGTTTCCGAAGGTTTCTGCAGAAAGGGAAGCTTCTCCTCCAGCTTGTCCAGGCCCCTGCAGGCGAAACTGTTCACGGAGGCCACTGAAGGGAGGGAGAGAGGCAAGGAGACTCGGGGGGATGCAGAGGGAGATAGGGACACAGTGAGAGCTGTAGAGGGAGGGAATGCTAGAGAGAGAAGCAGAGACAGAGAAGGACGGAGACCAGGAGAGACAGGGAGAGACCACACAGATTGATGGAGACGAGACCCACACCAGGAGAGGCACAGGCTTCCTGAGACCTTACAGCAAGAAGCCACCAAGACGCTGGAGCAGATACCTGAGGCTCCTGGAGACAGACGCCAGCAGAGGGAGATGTGGAGAAGGCTTAGACCACAGGGGGACCTGGCTGCCTCCCTAGGTGAGACCGGGGGCCCTGAGGGTGTTGGTATGCCACTGGGTTGGGCACTGCCTCCTCTGTTCTCCTGCCTGGGCTCTGCCACCCACCCTATTCTCCCAGCACCAAGGTGACTTTGCAGCTGTGCCCAGCTCAGATGGCCCAGCGGACAGACTCAAGGGCACAGAATCTGGCTGAGAGGCAGGTGAGGAGGTGCTAGGCTGGGACCCTCAGGTGACCTTCTTCATGGGTCAGACTATAGGCCAAGGGTCCTACAGTCCCCCCCACCCCCTCACCCCGTCATTGGCTCAGGGGTCCTCAGAGATTTGAGAACTGCAGAGCGGAGGCTGCAGGGCTCAGGACAGGCAGAGGCAGGCACAGAGGGGAAGGGGCCTGGAGAGACAAATGGACCCAAGGCACGTCAGGCCAACAAACGAGGGGGAACAGGGAGACAGATGGAATACGGACAGAGAGGAGGGGCCCCACCAGTAAACAGGTAAGGGGAGAGGGCCGGAGATCAGATTTATTTATTTTTGAGACACAGTCTAGCTATGTCACCCAGGCTGGAGTGCAGTGGCACAATTTCGGCTTGCCACTGGACCCTGGGACCCGTCTCCCAGGTTCAAGCGATTCTCCTGCCTCAGCCTCTGTTGGAGCTGGGATTACAGGCGCCCGCCACCACGCCTGGCTAATTTTTGTATTTTTAGTAGAGATGGGGTTTCACCATGTTGGCCAGCCTGGTCTCGAACTCCTGACCTCAAGTGATCCGCCTGCCTCAGACTCCTAAAGTACTGGGATTACAGGCATGAGCCACCATGCCTGGCAGGGGATCAGATTTTATATATATATATACACACACACACACACACACATATATATATATATATATTTTTTTTGAGATGGAGTCTCACTCTGTTGCCCAGGCTGGAGTGCAATGGTGCAGTCTTGGCTCACTGCAACCTCTGCTTCCCAGGTTCAAACAATTCTTCTGCCTCAGCCTCCCGAGGACCTGGGATTACAGGTGCCTGCCACCACAACTGGCTAAGTTTTGTATTTTTAGTAGAGATGGGGTTTCACTATGTTGGCCAGGCTGGTCTTAAACTCCTGACCTCGTGATCCGCCTACCTCAGCCTCACAAAGTGCTGGGATTACAGGCATGAGCCACCACACCCAGCCAGATTTAAAAAAAAAAATTTTTTTTTTTGAGATACAGGATCTCACTATGTTGCCTTGGCTGGTCTTGAATTCCTGGCCTCAAGTGAGGCCTCCTGCCTCGGCCTCCCAAAGCACTGGGATCATAGGCATGAACCGCCATGCCCAGCTGGTGATCACATTAAAGAGGGACTTAAGTGCAGAGATTGAGGAGAGGCGGCATGGCAGTGGGACAGGTGGCTAGGCTGAAGATGACTCCCAGGAATGTCATGCAGATAGACCAAGGAGGATGGGACGGGGACAAGCCACAGTTCTGGGAAAACGAGCTGGGGCACTCACGCTGGGGCTGCAGGTGCTCGAGCAGCGGCTGGGCGTGGTCCAGGGCACGGGTGGTCAGGCCGCACACGCAGTTCTCAGCCAGGCGGCAGGCAGAGCCCAGCAGCGGGTGCCTGTCCTTGGCTGCGCTGTAAGCATCGCAGACCGCGGTGCACGTGGCCCTGACCAGGGGCAGAGCCACCACACGCTGCACCACATTCTGTGGGAAAGGCTGGCATCAGGGGGGCCCTGGGGGAAGTGGGGCCCCAGCCATACCTCAACCTACTTCCCCTCTCTAGGCCAGGACAAGGGATGGGAGAGTAGGATAGAGTAGTGAACACCCCACCATGTAGAGGCAGTGAAGATACATGTGGATGTGAGAATGTCATGGTTCCTTAACTCACAGGCTCCTCTTCCCATGGTGTACACAGAACATTACAATTTTGTTTTCTTTTGTTGAGATGGGGTTTCACTCTTGTCACCCAGGCTGGAGCACAGTGGCACCATCTCAGCTCACTGCAACCTCCTCCTCCTGGATTCAAATGATTCTCCTGCCTCAGCCTCCCAAGTAGCTGGGATTACAGGCGCCCGCCACCACACCTGGCAATTGTTATTGTTGTTATTGTTATTTAAGACAGAGTTTTGCTCTTATTGCCCAGGCTGGAGTGCAATGGTGTGATCTCAGCTCAGTGCAACCTTCGCCTCCTGGGTTCAAGTGATTCTCCTGCCTCAGCCTCCCAAAGAGCTGGGATTACAGGGATGCACCACCATATCTGGCTTTTTTTTTTTTTTTTTTTTTGTATTTTTAGTAGAGATGGGGTTTCTCCACGTTGGTCAGGCTGGTCTCAAACTCCCAACCTCAGGTGATCCACCCACCTCGGCCTCCCAAAGTGCTGGGATTACAGGTGTGAGCCACCGCGCCCAACCAATTTTTTTTTTTTTTTTTTTTTTTTTAAGTAGAAACAGGGGTTCACTATGTTGGCCAGGCTGGTCTCGAACTCCTGACCTCAGGTGATCCACCCAACTCAGCCTCCCAAAGTGCTGGGATTACAGGCTTGAGCCACGGCGCCTGGTCACAATTTTTTTGTTTTCAATAGAGACAAGGTCCTGCTGTGTTGCCCAGGCTGGAGGGCAATGATTCAAGCATGGCTCCCTGCAGGCTCAGCCTCCCAGGCTCAAGCAATCCTCCCACCTCAGTCTCCAAGTACCTGTGATTACAGGTGCACACCACTGTGCCCAGCTAATTTTATTTTATTTTATTTTTATTATTTTTTTTTTTTTGAGACGGAGTCTCGCTGTGTCACCCAGGCTGGAATGCAGTGGCCGATCTCGGCTCACTGCAAGCTCCGCTCCCGGTTTACGCCATTCTCCTGCCTCAGCCTCCGAGTAGCTGGGACTACAGGCGCCCGCCACCACGCCCGGCTAGTTTTTTGTATTTTTAGTAGAGACGGGGTTTCACCATGTTAGCCAGGATGGTCTCGATCTCCTGACTTCGTGATCCACCCGCCTCGGCCTCCCAAAGTACTGGGATTACAGGCTTGAGCCACCACGCCCGGCCTATTTTTTTTTTATTTTTTATTTTTTTTTTGAGACGGAGTCTTACTCTGTCGCCCAGGCTGGAGTGCAGTGGCCGTATCTCAGCTCACTGCAAGCTCCGCCTCCCGGGTTTACGCCATTCTCCTGCCTCAGCCTCCCGAGTAGCTGGGACTACAGGTGCCCACCACCTCGCCCAGCTAGTTTTTTGTATTTTTTAGTAGAGACGGGGTTTCACTGTGTTAGCCAGGATGGTCTCGATCTCCTGACCTCGTGATCCGCCCGTCTGGGCCTCCCAAAGTGCTGGGATTACAGGCTTGAGCCACCGCGCCCGGCCAATTTTATTTTATTTTATAGAGATGGGGTCTTGCTGTGTTACCCATGTTGGTCTTGAACTCCTGGCTCAAGTGATCCTCCCGCTTCAGTCTCCTAATATGCTGGGATTATAGGCGTGAACCACTGCACCTGGCCAAATACTATATTTTTTGATCTGCATTTGGTTGGAAAAGGTCTGCATACTTCTGTCTCCTGGGTTCAAGAGATTCTCCTGCCTCAGCCTCCCAATTAGCTGGGATTACAGGCAGCCACCACCCCACCTTTTTTTTTTTTTTTTTTTTGAGATGGAGTCTCGTTCTTGTTACCCAGGCTGGAGTGCAGTGGCGTGATCTCGGCTCACTGCAACCCCCGTCTCCAGGGTTCAAGCGATTCTCCTGCCTCAGGCTCCTGAGTAGCTGGGAATACAGTAGGTGGCACCTGCCACCATGCCCGGCTAATTCTCGTACTTTTAGTACAGACAGGGTTTCACCATGTTGGCCAGGTTGGTCTCAAACTCCTGACCTCAGGTGATCTGCCCGTTTGGCCTCTCAAAGCGCTGGGATTACAGGCGTGAGGCACCGTGCCCAGCCTGACCTGTGCAGTTCAAACCCGTGTTGTTAAAGGGTCGACTGTGATCTGTCTGCTCGAGGGAGGAGATGTTAGAGTTTGGGGGTTCAGAGCACCGCCCCTGGAGCACAATGGCCTCTGTTCACTTCTGGTTCAACTGCCTCCAAGCTGTGTGAACTTGGGCAAGGAACTGAACCATTCGGTGCCTTGGTTTCCCCATCTACGAAATGCATTACTAGGGTTGTGATGGGGTATTCAAGGAGCCAATATACATGGAACTCTTGCAACCGATACAGTGATTGCTGCTCTTACTATTGTTGTTATTGAGGGCCACATGACGGTGGACGTGGAGACAAAAGGATACAGGTGGAGACCCAGGGATCAGAGGAGAGGGAAAGGGTTGGGTAGGGGCCACAAAAGCCAGCTGGGTGTCTTTGAGACACTCCCCTCCCAGGGCCTCATTAAGCCCCCACTAGGAAATAGACCGTCTCCTCCATGGACCAAAATATTTTATGAGTCAGGTTTTCCCAGCAAGGAGAGGAGTGGGGCGGGATACCTGGCCTGAAACGCTCCTAGAAGGGACTGTCCCACACAATTCCTTGTGTCCCCGCTCCATGGGAGGCGCAGCCCTCACCTGCTGGGTCTGGGAATCTGAGCCGCTGGGTCTGGGGATGTGAGCCGCCTCCTCTTCGGACATCGTGCTGCAAACAGGGTCACCCTGCAGGGCAGGATTGAGTAAGGGGGGGCACCTGCCCAGGCGTCAGATCCTGTCAAATAAACCTCTTGGGGCCTCAGTTTCTTCATCTGAATAATGGGGCATTCTGCGGGGTTCAGACAATGCATGTCCAGAGCTCTGTACACAGAAGGTGTCTAATAATGAGCCTCTGGCAAGGTGGGGTTGCTGGAGTGACTTGAAGCATGGTCTCTGAGGTGAGAGAGACCTGGGTTCAAATGCTACCATTAATTGCGGTGTTATTTTTATTTATTTATGTATTATTTTTTAAAGACAGAATCTCTCTCTTGCCCAGGCTGGAGAGCAGTGGCGCCATCTCAGCTCACTGCAATCTCCGCCTCAGCCTCCCAGTTAGCTGGGATTACCCACGTGTCACCATGCTCGGTTAATTTTTTAATTTTTAGTAGAAACGGGGTTTCACCGTGTTGCCCAGGCACGTCTCAAACTCCTGGGCTCAAGTGATCCGTCCGCCTCAGCCTCCCAAAGTGCTGGGATTACAGGCATGAGACACTGCACCTGGCCTGCTGTGTGATTTTTGGCAAGCGCCTTCACCTCTCTGGGCTGTTTCCTGTTTTGTTAGATGGGGGAGGTCCCTGCTACCCCTGCAGCCCCTGCCTGGGCCCAGAACTGCCCAAGCACCCCGGACGGCTGGAGGTGATAGCTACTGAGTCCTAGTCCACTCACAGCTCATTTGACAGGCAGGGCAACTGAGGCACGCAACAGGTCCACACTGGTCCCAAGGTCACGCAGCCAGCTAGAGTTAGAGGGGGGAGTTCGACTTGCCGCCTGCGATCCCTCCGGTTGCACCCCGCGTCCTCTGAGGACTGGTCCTCGCCCAACTGGGTCCTGAGCTGGGGCCAACTGGGCCAAGGGTCCCAGCCACCTGCTCTGGCCCGTCGTACCCGTCCCACGCCGCCAGACCTTCGCCCAACCACTCTATCTGGAGCTCCTCTCCTGAGCCCGGGGGACGCCCCTGGACGCCGCCCTCAGGGCACTCACCTGTGCGCGAGCGGCTTCAGACCCCAGGTGTCTCCGCTGACCCCACGCTGAAGTCTCCACCCCCTGCTCACCGGCCCCGCCCATCTTATATCTGCTTGCGGAGTGGGGGCCTCCGGAACTGACCAATGGGGAGAGGCCGTGCGGGGGCGTGCCCAGGGGGTGTGGCTCCAGGCTTCCCTCGCCCTCTCCTTGGGCTAGCCCCGTGCTCTGCGGTTGCCATAGCAATCTGGGAACGCTGGATGCAAAAGAGTGATCTATTATACTTTATTATACCAAGTTTGTCCACCTGTCACCCTCACTGCTGTTGCCATGGAGATGGTCCATGCGATCACAGCCCCCATGGCCCTGCTGAGTGACCTTGGCCAAGTCGCTGATGACTTTTCTTATCATTAATTATTATTATTTATCGATTTTTGAGACTGGGTCTTGCTCGGTTGCCCAGGGCTAGAGTGCAGTGGTGTGATCACAGCTCACTGCAGCCTTGCCTTCCCAGGCTCAGGTCATCCTCCCGCCTCAGCCTCCTGAGTAGCTGGGACCACAGGCACACACCACCACGCCCAGCTAACTTTTTTTTTTTACTTTTTGTAGAGATGAGAGCTCCCTGTGTTGACCAGGTTGGTCTTGAACCCCTAAGGCCCAAGTGATCCTTCCACCTCAGCCTCCCGAATTGCTGGGATTACAGGTGTGAGCCATTGCACCCAGCTTCTTTTTATTTCTTAATCTGCTCCTTAACTAACCAGAAGCCAGGCCTGCCCTTTCCCTAGGATCCCCATTTTACAGCTGAGCAAGCTGAGGCTCAGATATGGTAAATCACTTGCCCTGCGTACCATAGCAGGTGAATATCCTATTCCTTTTTATTTATTTATTTATTTTTTGAGACAGCATCTGACTCTGTCACCCAGGCTGGAGTGCAGTGGTGCAATCTCGGCTCACTGCAACCTCCACCCCCTGGGTTCAAGTGATTCTCCTGCCTCAGCCTCCCGAGTAGCTGGGATTACAGGCGCCTGCCACCATACCTAGCTAATTTTTGTATTTTTAGTAGACACGGGGTTTCGCCATATGGGTCAGGCTGGTCTTGAACTCCTGACTTCATGATTCACCCGTCTTGGCCTCCCAAAGTGCTAGGATTACAGGCATGAGTCACCACGCCCGGCCAGGGATCCTATTCAAACCTAGCCCTGCTGGACCCCAGAACCCTGCCTGTTCATTGCCGTGCCTGGAATGACCACAGATGTAGGCATGGTCTATTTATTTATGTACTTATTTAGAGACACAGTTTCACTCTGTCGCCCAGACTGGAGTGCAGTGGCACGATCTTGGCTCACTGTAACCTCCACCTCCCAGGTTCGAGCGATTCTCGTGCCTGACCCTCCCGAGTAGCTGGTATGACAGGTACATGCCATTATGCCTGGCTAAATTTTTGTATTTTGTATTTTAGTAGAGACGGGGTTTTGCCATGTTGGCCAGGCTGGTATCGAACTCCTGACCTTGGGTGATCTGCCTGCCTCAGCCTCTCAAAGTGCTGTAATCCCAAAGGGATTACATGTGTGAGCCACGCCACCAGGGTGTACGTCCATTTTTTAGGGAGCTGCGAAAACTGGACATATCCCCAATCCCCAGGGTCTCCCAAATCTGACTATAGCCCCCACATGGTCAATGCCATATAAGCAGGTGGGCCTGGGACCCCGCCCATCCCTTCGGCCCCATCCCGCCCCTGCAACCTTGCACGGGGCAGGTGCCCCCTTAGATCATCTCAGGCCGGCATGACAAATTGTTTGGAGACCTGGGCAATCTGGTTTAACTTAAACCTTCTCCTAGGACACAAGCCCTGGCAGAAATCCACTGGTAAAATGACACCCGGGCAACGGTCAAGGTTTTATTTCCAGTTAGGTCCCAGGATGGGGGAAGGGAGAGGAAAAGTCACAGGTCTTTGATCCCAACTGTCACCCCCTAGGGAGACCGCCTCCCACACCCCAGGGCCTGGGCCATGCCTCTTTTCCTCCTGCACCCTGGAGTCCTAGGAAGTTGATTTGAGAAGATGCTAGGAACACAACAAAAGCCAATTCATCCTATCCAGTTTTCAAGAGTTATTTATTAAACTCCTTGGGTCTGACCCCAAGCTAAGTGGGACTCAGCACCAGACCCTGCACTCAGAGAGCCCCCTGACTTGGGGAAGACAGAGTCAGAGAAAGGCAGGCCCAGTGTGGCCAGGGCTCAGCCGGAGGGAAGGACAAGGGGGCTGGGAGAACCCAGAGATCAAGAGATCTGGGAAACGGGGAACGGCATTCCAGAGAGAGGGCACATCTTGGGCACGGGTCAGGAAAGTCCATCGTGTGTTTTAGAAGCATGTGTGGGTGAAACAGGGTCCCAGCCATAATGGACAGCCCTGAGTCTCACCTGTAAAAGGCAGGATTATTTGTTTTTTATTTTTATTTTTTATTTTTGAGACGGAATCTCGCTCTGTTGCCCAGGCTTGAGTGCAGTGGCGCAATCTCTGCTCGCTGCAAGCTCCGCCTCCCCGGTTCACGCCATTCTCCTGCCTCAGCCTCCCGAGTAGCTGAGACTACAGGTGCCCGCCACCACATCTGGCTAATTTTTTTTGTATTTTTAGTAGAGATGGGGTTTCACCGTGTTAGCCAGGATGGTCTCAATCTCTTGACCTCGTGATCTGCCTGCCTTGGCCTCCCGAAGTGCTGGGATTACAGGCGTGAGCCACCGCGCCTGGCCAAAGGCAGGATTATTTGCTAAGTGGGTTGCAGTGTTCTACCAGACCCCCCACCCTCAACCCCAGCCCCAGGTCTCACTGGGACTCGGCCACTGCCAGGAGCGTCTGGCCCTTCATGGCTTCAGGCCCAGCACAGCGCGTGTCATTCTGGGAAAACATCTTGTCTTTTTGGGCCTGAAGCCAACGATAGAGGTCGCTCAGGTTCTGGTCACAGATCCAGGGGTTGCTGGAGATGTCAAAGCCATCCCGCATGTCCCGGTTTGGCTGCCTTAGGGATGTCCAGAGCCCCTCGGGCACACTGGCCAGCGAGTTATTGGAGAGGTCCAGCATGTCCAGCTGCCGCAGGCCCTGGAAGGCACCGGCTGCCACCCTGGCCAGCTTGTTGCCGTTCAGGAAAAGGTAGCGCAGGTCTGGCTGCGGCACGAGGAGATCCTTTCCCAGTTCTTGCAATTTGTTGCCTTCTAGATGTAGCCGTTCTAACTGCAGCGGACCCTGCAGAAGGTCAGGGGGCAAGGTCTCCAACTGGTTCTCCGCAAGGTCAAGGGTGCGCAGGAGGGTGAAGTTGGCCAGCAGCCCAGGGGGCAGTTTCCGGAGGCAGTTCCCAGACAGGTCCAGATGCCTCAGGGCTTTCAGACCATGCAGCCACGAGGCCTCCAGGACCTCCAGCTGGTTTTCTTTCAACACCAGGGTGTCCAGGGTGGCTGAGGCCTGGAAGAGGCCTGGGGGCAGCCCGGTCAGGGAGTTTCGAGTTAGATCCAGCACCCTCAGCTGCGGCACTGGCCGCAGGAACTCGGGTGAGAGGCTTTCCAGCCTGTTGCTGGAGAGGTGCAATTCTTGGAGCTTAGAGGCGCCCTGGAGGAGGGTGGCTGGCAGGAGGGTCAGGTTGAAGAACTCCACGGCCAGGTGCACAGTGTCGGCTGGCAGGTAGCTGGGGATTTTGGCAGGTGGTTGGCAGGAGATGGAGCTGCCATGGTCTGAGCGGAACACCTGGCAGTCTTTGGGGCTCAGGGTGACCCCGCAGGCTGAGGCCGCCAATAGCAGCAGCAGGAACAGGGTTCTAGAAAGATGGGGTTGAAAGCCCCCTGGGCTGCAGGCAGTAACAGAAGATGCTTACTAACCCACAGTGAAAATACACTCAGCTAGGTGAAAATACACCCCCAAATTTGCCCACTTCTTCCCATCTCTGCGGCTACCAGCCTGGACTATGCTGCCTCATCTCTTACCTGGACTAGGGCAGTTGCTGCCTTCTCCTCTCCCAGCTTCTACCCTCACCCCCCACAGCTGCCAGAAGTGGCGCCTGTTGCAGGGAGAATTACAATTCTAGGAAAGTTGAGTTTCTGGGTGTAACTCCCACATAATATGAATACACTTCCCCATCACCAGCCTAGCCCCCATGAGCTGCTAATTATTCACAGTCCAACTTGCTAGTTTCTTCTGATCTGGCTTGTTTTCTGGGTCAGTCCTTGTCTCCCTGGCTCTGTTTTGATGTGAACTCCTATTCATCCTGCAAAGCCCCAGCTCCAATGCCCTCTTTTCCATGAAGACTTCTCTGCTCTGGGATCCTGGTCTTTCTGTCCAGCCTTGACCAGTTGGGTGCTTGGAGGAAGACAGATGTTCAGGTTCACGTTTTTGAGACAGGGTCTTGCTCGGTTGCCCAGGCTGGAGGGCATTGGTATGATCATAGCTCACTGCAGCCTCTGAACATGAAAAGTGTATCCTGCTTTGGCCCGGACTGATGGTGGGCATTTGGCCTTGGGAAGGGGTGGTTTACATTTAGCACCCTTGGAAGCCTGGGGCTTCCCCTCTGTCTCCAGGGCTTCCCTGGCCCAGCAGCCATCAGACATGATCTGGACAGCCTTGGTCACTGTGGCCCCAGACCTCTAACAAAAAGCCTCCCCCGGTTCCATCCTGCCCATGCCCACCTGGGCTTCTGCAGGTGTGTGTGTGTGTGTGTGTGTGTGTGTGTGTGTGTCTGTGTGTGTGTGTCAGTCTTTCTGTCATAGTTAAGGTTGATCTGTCCCAGGCTCCAGGTCTGTATCTGCTCCCTGTGACTTCAGTGGGTCAGCTGGAATGTGGGTCAGACCTGCCTAGGACAGGTAGTGTGGGGACCTACCTTTCGGGTCGCTGTCGGCTCCAAGAGGCCATGGTAGCTCTTCTCTTTTGCTTCTGGGTTGTCCTGGCCTGGGGAGGTGGCCTTATACCTGCCTGGACTGGGGGCCGGGGAACCAACCCCGGGAAAGTCCCCACCCCCATCAGTTCCTGACAGGGGCTGAGGCTAAGCCAGGCGGGAAAAGGGGAGGGGTCAGGATTACA